TCTTAACCTTTATTTACTATTAATTTCTGTTCACTTCATCTCATCTTCTTTGAAAGAAGAAAGACACTGTATTTATATTTCACAGATCCAGCAAACCAAATGTAGTCCATGGACCTGGCTTACACTTACAAAATTACCTACATCTGAGTCCAGTGTAACAGAATCTCTGAGTCTGAACAGGAAAATTAGATATACCAAATTGAAAAGTAGGAGGGAATAGCCATTATTCATTTATCAAATAGGTTCCTGAGAATCAAAAGAGAAGTTCTAAGGAAAGGAGGGTCAAAATTCCAGTCCTAACATTCCATTTGAAAGACAGAGAAAGGGCTAGAAAGTGGATCCTTATTAAGGCATCTGGCCCCAGATTCAACCACTAGCAAAGAGAGAAAGAATTGGCTACCTATATTTGCCTATTTTTGTTAGTGTAACAAAATAACTTGAGGATAGATCCATTGTTAAGAAAAAAAATTAGTTCAGTTTTAAAGGTTGGAGTTTCAAACTAGATTACTCCCATTGACTGAACTCTGTCTAGTAGGAGCCCAACTACAGATGGGATCGTTACTGTCTAGGGGTCTTGATGAGATTCGTTTTCTCCTACCAATTAAGGGATTAAAACACCAAATCAGTAAGGCTAGCATATCCAGTTGGGGATCAGAGTAGGTCCTACTGGGTTTTTATTTCTAACCAGAGGCACCTGTGCCTCATTTTGAGCATCAGAGCTTGGCCTCACAGTCTTACCTGAGTGGCTACAGCAACCTAAGATGATGAGCATAGAGCATAATGCAATGTTTACCAGGAAGTATGCCTTAAACGCATCTTTTACTTCAAAAGAGCTGACTCTGGAAGAATTTCTGCTGTTTTTGTTTTTGTGTTTTTACATTTTAAATCAAAATAAAATTACATCACTTTCTCCTTTCTCTTACCTCCCTGTGTCCCCTCCTTCCAACCCCTCCCATGTCCATCACACTAACTCAAATTGAAAGCCTTTTTCTTTGGTTGTTTTGTATGTGTATGTATACATATATATCCTACATAGAAGCAGTTGTTTATAGAGACAATACTGTTTTGTATATATATATATATATAATTGTATAAATATACGCAACCTTAGTCATTGTGCACACACACGAACATACACAGAAAACATAAACACAAACATGCTGAGTCCATATGCAATTTTTAAATAGCATTTCCTCTAATGGAAAAGACAGTACATTTTGTTTACATTTGCCACAAGCTCACAATGTCCCATTTCTCAACGATCTTACTGTCACACTAAAGACTAAGTCTCTAGCACATGGGCCCTTCATGATGAACCATATCTAAACTACGGTACCATTATAGTGATGTGATAGATAAGCGAGACCTGAACAGCACCCTGATTTCCATGGCTCTTCTGAGACTCAAATGTATTGCTCTTCCCATTGACTCTCTCTGTTTTTACTTCAGTTATTGCTTCTCCTTGTCCCCACCCACTCGTTGGTGTGAAAATGATCTGGTAATATATGTTTGTCACCTAACTCTGAAGATATTTCCATTTTTGGAGACCTCAGATCTTAAAGCCAAGCCATGATGACTCCTTTAGATTTGGCTATTGATTATGGTCTAATCAGAGTATCCAAAAGTACACAAGATAACGCTGAAAACCAATGTTGAAATCATTGTGGCTGGCTTCCGAAGGGAACCGGCAGGTGGCCATAATCACAGAGTTCTCATAGCTCTTTGTACCTTGGAATTAAATGAGGTTTTTCAGATTTAACAAATGAAAACCATCCATTCTCCATTTGAAATGTAAATTGTGACTAGACAACAAATAATATTGAAAGCATTATTTGGTATCTATTTTGTTCCTTGATGTGTTTAGTTGTGGTAAAATGATTCTTTTGATTCTGGTATAGTATCCACCTATTATAGAAAGAGAAACAGACACAGAAATAGCAGATGGAATGGAAAATTAATTCGATGGGATGAAAGTGGCAACAGTGTACTGTAAGAAATGATTAACAACAAAAGTAGACTTTTGAATGATTTTATGAGGGAGAGAGGGATTTAAACAAGGCAACCATCTGTAATCCTAGCACTTAGAAAGCAGAGACAGGAGTATTACCACTAGTTTGGGCCTAGCCTGCTCTACACACGGAATTCCAAGCAAACTTGTGTTGATGATAAGACATAGTCTCAAAAAACGAAATAGAAATAAACAATCAAACATCACCAACAACCCCTTAAACAGTAAAACTGAAGCTGGACCTTGATGGGAGAGGTAATGTGAACATTTAGAGGAGAGAGCACATTTTGTTTTCAGGTAGAAGGAACTCTTAATCATAGGAGTGGGTGTGTGGAATGTGAGGACAAAATGGACCAGGAATGAATTTCATGGGAACAGTCATAGCAAGGTGACTTGTGTCAAAGAGACAAATTGTGGAGGAGTTCTGATGAACTGCCTGACTCCATCTTACACTTGAAAACCATCTTGTTGTAAAGACAAATTCGGTTCATTCTTGTCTATGATTTAATCTCTGTTTCTCAAGGATTGAGTTATGCCCCACCTGTAACCTTAACTACAAATGGTTCTCTATACTGCCTGGAAACAGCAACCATGCCTTTGCTTCAAAAGGTTATATGAACACCTGTTCTTATGACCACCCATTATTATGACTACCTTATGAGCACCTTGCAATCATTTCTTTGTTCCAAAAAACTGTAATGACTATCTTAAAACCCTACCATTGTTTCAAAAGGTTATGACTATCTTGTTCTAACTTTAGTATTATGGCCACCTTGCAATATTCTACTTCCATAACTCTGTCTATTTTGCACACACCCCCCCCATTCGGAAACCCCACTACCCTGAGCTATAAAAATCTTGTCTTTCTTATGTCCAATGTTGCCTCTCAAACCCAACATAGGGGGAGGCAGCTCCTGTACAGGAATAAAAAAGCTTGATTTAACTAATTTTGTTGGGGTTGGTGATCTTTCTCCTCAAATCTTTGGGATTAACACTTTTCATTGCACATGGAGTATTTATCACTTTCTTTCAGAGTTTGGGACAGGGTACAAGCAGGTCTGTGTAAAAAGGTGAGAGGCATGGAAACAATTTTGAAGTTGTTAATAGCAATTGTTCAGAGACAGGGTGAGGACATAAACTGTGTTTTGTCCAGAAGAGACGATTAAGAGTATATAGAATAGGATTTAGTTAGAAGGGTAATACTCATCAACTGAGTCCACAGGACAACTTGATATCCTGATATTTTCTATTAAATACTACTAAAACTCAAACACAAGTTTTGGGAGTGAACGTGAAATATCTGCTGTATAGTCATTACTCAGGAAAAAAGGTGTGTGTGTGGGGGTGGGGAAGGATGGGGTCTATATTTGTGTTTCGTGTGGGCGCTCATCCTGGAGTTAACATCAGTGAAGGTGGACACTTAAAAGAAATCCCACACTGGCTCAGAAGTGAGAATAGTGGAGGGTTATTTAGTTAGGGGTAGACTCACAAATCAATATCTTCTGCTGAAACGGAGAACAGCAAACTGAATCTCACACCCGGAAAAGAGGCCTGAAGTGCACATTACATTGGCATAAATAGTATAAGAGGTCACATCCCAGTGCGTCAGTAACTTAATGACTACTGGTGGTAGGAATTCCTACAGCAGCTCCCCCTTTTGTTTAAATAAGAGAGTTCTAAGTCTAATACAAAATTATATGCTATAAGAACAAATATATCAAGCAGGAAACGTGTGATAAATGTTTCAATAATTATCCTATTCTAATGAGTTTAAGTCTTGTATAATAAATAACTTGGCCAAGTCATGAGAGGAAAGTAACTACAACTATCTAGTATTCAACCCCATCAAAGATCCGAGAAGGGAAATAATATTACTTGAGTAAGCAGGAAGTGCAATCAAGCAACTTCCAAAAATGTACAACAAATGACAGAGACAACAGGCTACCTTGGCAATCACCCAAAGTCTCATTTCCAACGTTGAAGCAATCAACTTTGGCTAAAGCCTAGAATAACTGACAGACCATTTTCAGAGGCAGGAAAATTTTCAGAACTGTCTTACCCTGTCTTGGCAAGATTTGACAGTCTTTTTCCTTGTGTCCTGCTTATTAATTTCCGGATACCATGTACCTTGTCAGTGGTCGAGGAATGGGCAGCTCCTTGCCCAAAGGCCAATTGTGCCAAGAAGAAAACAAACTCCTAGTGGAGTGTCTTTGGTGCTCAACATTCTCTCTGGAATAGATCAGTGCTGCCAGGAGCAATTGTGTCTCACTTCAATAGAAGTTATTTAAATGCCATATTGTATGGCTCTTTGAAGTGGTTGAAGATTACCTATTTATGCAGAATACAATCTCTATATATCTAAAGAACCTGATTAGTCTAACTATAAGTATGACAAACATAGATGACTATTGTCCTATAATTCTTAATACCTATATAACTTAAAGACTAAGACTTCATATTAGAATATTATACAATATTATACAACTGTACAAATGAGGACAATGACGTCAAAATGTAAACAATGTATAAGTATCTTTATCAGAGGTAGAAATATACATTGTAATATGATAAATATATCCTAAAATTGTATTAATATACAAAAATATTTTAAGCAGAGGTAGAAGCATGCATGCATACAATATGATAAAACATCAGGTCTCTTCCTCAGCCAGTCTTACTTTATATATTGAGGCAGGGTTTGACAGCCAAAAGCCAGTATCTACTAAATAGATATATCTCCCCTATTGACCCCATTAGAAGACACTTTCCAAGTGCCTTCTTTCTCTGCCTTGTATAATGTGGTGTTGCTTACTTTTACCTGTGGCCTCTTGCTGAGTTGTGCACCTCAGCAATCCTTCCAGAAGATGGCCTGGCCTCCTTATCCCAGTCTATGGTGTGAGCCTTTGCATATATTATGCCCTTTACCTCAGTATAAGCACGATAGGATGTTGGTGATGAAGGAGGTGGGGAGCCCAACCTGCAGTGTGCACTGGCAGTTTAGGAAGATCCAAGCCACAGGGCCAAGTCCCTAAGATGGTGAGTGAAGAGAGGTAAAAGGCAGGGTCCCTCCTGTGGGCTCACTGCTGACTCAGAAACAAAACCCCCCTCCTCCAGGACTTCGTGGCTCCGTCTGGGGAAATCCTAATCCTTTCCCTCTTCCTTGGCAGGGTTCCTGCCGCTGGAGCGGGAGGCGGTGAGAGGCGGTGCGCTTGGGTCAGGGGGAGGCGGGGGGAGGGGACTCCACTAACTTTGTAGTTCAGCTTCAGGGACCACGGTGACATTCTGCTCGGCGCCGCGGGCAGGCCAGAACCTCGGGTGAGAAAGACAGGGCACCGTGCAGAAGCCATCGCCCCCTGCAGAGCCGCCAGCGCGTCTGGATGGAAGGAGCCGCGACCCCAGACGCAGGCTCGATGGAGCCATTCGCCCTCCCGGGCCTGCTCTTCACCGTCACCCTGCTGCTCCTGGCCCTGCGCCTCCTCACCCAGCGCACCAGGTAAACTCCAACGCTGACATGGCCACGCATGCGCGGGGTCGCGGCCGCACGACCTCGTGGGCACCCGAGTCCCTTCGGCATGGCGGGTGCAGGTAGACCTTGCTCCGGGAGCCTCTGGGTGTCCTACAAAGGCTCTGCACGCACCTCTGCACGTACTCACGTCCAGGTTACAGATGTTCTGTCCAACCTTACTTGCTGCGCAGCGCAGTCTCGGGCTTCTCAGGTTTGGTTAAGCATTCTGCGATGGCCTTTGCCTGGGCCCATGCATGTTTCATGACCCAGAATTCCCCGCATTTTAAGGAGAGATACTTCTTGAATTTTATCTAGTTCAGAGAGAAATGTTTTAAGAAAATTCTGGTGCGCAGTGTGGGTGCTGTTCAGTGCCTCAGTTTATCTAATTGTACCTTACCTGGAAAATTAGAAACAACAGAACCTACCGATCGTGATTATGGGACTTTTGTGAGAAACAAAGGTGTTAATAGTGTTTATGCCTTCGTTCTATTTATTTTTCTCAGGACAACAAATAGTAGTGACAGTAAAACTCAGAAGTGCGTAACTATCTGCGGGGAAACGTGGAAGCAGAGAAATGGGAATAAAATTATTCACTTCCCATTTATGTTGTTTTTCCCACTAGTGCCTTATCTTTTTCATGCACAGTTTTCATGGCTTTTGAAAACGAAATAGGTTAATTTAAGGAGAAGAGTATTACTAATTAAATATCTATCAATGTTTTGGGGACAATGACACAATCGTACCTCATACAAATAAATATCCGTGGGAGTTTTTGAAGTACCAGTTGAAAAATATTTAAAGTAATAGTATTTGGATTTGCTCACATGTAACTTTTCAGAGAACTTTCTGGAACCTTGCCTTTCCTTTTATGTAGTCTTCTACACGCCTACAGCTTGCAGAGCTCAGGGTATTAGGTCTTTAACTTCAGGCTCCTGTGACTACACCGTGTCAGTTAGGTCACACTTCTAGGAATATAGATGCCAAGGCTCTTTCTTCTAATCTCCATTTTCGTGCAGGGCACGGGCAGTCAAAGCAAACCAGTTCATTCTAGACCACTGAGGGTAACTGGGTGACAATGCGGAACTCAGGAGGTCCACGGGGAGGTAAAAAAGCAAGGAAAGCTGTCCTCAGGGTGTTCAGAGAACAGGCCAGTTTTTCTCTGTTCACTAAGTATGATTTGCTATCATGTGCCTTCCATCAGTTGCCAGTTCCTTCACACCAGGAAGACTAATGCAGGTCTGTGAGGCACTGCGTTCTAGATCAGCTCATAGGTTGTAGTTCAGTATGGAAAGATATGAGTATATTCCGGAAAGACCCACGTGTCTGATGGCTTTTCTTTTCTGTGTCTGGACAATTTATTCTATTTCCATAGGAAAGTCCTGTCTGATGTCACCTGTAAAAGAGAAACGATGGTTCTCAATGTTTTGTGTATAATCATGTTTGAACACCTATTAGTGAAAATGTACAAATAGAAGGAAAACACTCTTGCCTTTCCCACTGTATGGTATTCTTAGGGGCCATTGATAATGAATAGAGACAGTAACTCTCTCTCTCTCTCTCTCTCTCTCTCTCTCACACACACACACACACACACATACACACACCTTTGGGATGTTGTGGATAATAAAGTTGTAATAGTTACGCAACTTCCCTCAGTTACAATTTATTCCGCTACTAAAGATCTTTTAAGTCCCTGCCATATCACAATTCATTTTGCTTGTGCTAGACTGATAAAGAAAAATAAAGTTCTCTCTCTCTCTCTCTCTCTCTCTCTCTCTCTCTCGTGTGTGTGCAGGCATACACGTAAAAGCCTTCGAAGGTCAAATCCAGGGCCTTGGACATGCCAGGCAAGTACTCTGTCACTGAGCTACTCCACAAGGAAAGCTTCCTTTAAAAAGTAAAACATTCCAATTTCTATAGTTTTGATGGAGTTATCTCTGGAAGTTTCTTTAGTAACTTATTTTCTTTTTAGTTATTTTTTTTCAGAGTTAAAACTGACCCAGGGCCTTGTATGTGCTAGGTAATCACTCACCTCTAAGTCACACCCTCAACCCTTTCTTGTAACGCTCACAGAACTTTGCACCCTTCCGACTGTACTGCAATTATTTCACATTTTACTTCATAGTTAGAGTTTCTGCATACACATCCTTATTAAAAAAACATTTTAGAGTCATGGCATGCTAAAAATGCCCACCAGCATTGTCCCTCATCACCAACTAATGTCTACGGAGATGGTATACATAGGGTGGTTATATTCAATTTTTACCGTGTGAGCAATTTTGTCTGGAATGCTTGTAATACAGTGTTTTACAGGAACATGGTTTACCCACAAAACGGCTAAGATTAGAGGAGAACAGGGCAAGCCAGAGGTCAGTTATTGCTCTTGCCCGTTTATCAGATGTTTTCCATTCTTTTGCCTCATCCCCTGCCCCACGCCCACACCTTTCCATCTCTGTTTCTTTTTGAGACTGGATCTCAGGTTAGTCTGGACTGCTGGGACGAAGTGATCCTTCCACTTTAGTAGCTGAGACTAGAGGGCATGTCTCTGCTTTCAGGCCACCTGGAATTTTTGAGGGGGTGGGATGGGATTCCTTTTCCTTTCCAGGAAGATGATGACTAGTGAGACTGTCAACCACAGATGCCATCACAGTGCTGCAGCGGGGAGAAGAAAAGAAGGGTAGCAGTGGCGTAACGTGGAGCTATCACTCTAGGAAGGACGGGAAATGCTTAGAATCACCATATATTTTGGACAATAGAATTAACAGGATTTCCTAATGGCAGATGAGAAAAGAGTCAAGAGTGAAGTTTACATGTTTCAGGTCCTTTGCTCTCTAGTTCTCAGGGTGGAAACGGACTTGGAAAACTGTTACTTGTCCAAAGTAATTACATAATTTTTAACCCTTCCAGCAGTAATATATTCGACTCAATTAATAGCATCACCAAAATATGAGACTTTCTCTGTAAGCCATAGCAAGAAAACAGCTGTCTATTGACCAGAAAGCAAGGCTTCACAAGATACTGAGTCTGTCAGCCCCTTGATCCTGAACTTCCCAACCTCCAGAGCAGTGAGAGATAAATTTCTCTTTCTTGTAAGCCACTGGACTTGTGGTCTGATGTTACAGTAACTGCTATGCATTAAAGATGGTGAAATTCAAGCCTAACTGTCCTCTAAATGGTGGCAGTAGCTGAACTCCGGTCAGACTACAGCTCCAGAAGCTCGTTTCTCAGTATTTAGGTTTCTTTCCTTGATTTTGGTTACTCCAGTCACCTCAAGCTGGCATCTCAAGTGATAGTGTAGTAAAGGCATAAGTCACAAACAATGCCACACCAATTTGGAATTATGATTAATAGGGTGGTATTTATTTAAAGGGGAAAAAACTTACAGATCGCCGTCCCAGACAACAGCCCTCTATGCAACCAGGAAGGGAGTCTAGTCGCCTGAGGAGCAGGAAGTGAGGAGAGAGAGGAGAGGGAAGTGGCCGCTTTTTTAAAGGGAGAGAGACCACGCCCCAATGGGCTGGTATCTCAGCAGCTATAGGCTGGAGGAGTGGGAGGACCTCCTGCAAAAGTGTAGCTTTTCGGAGGGGGGTGGGCAGTTAGTACTCCATCTTTGGTCTCCTTTCTCCTGGATTTCTTTAAAGTTCTTAGTATCTCCATCATGTGTTTTTGGGTTCTATTCTTTAGTAAATATATAATTTTTATAGTCATCTGCGGTGATGCCAATTTCCAGGCAACTTCATGTTTCTAGAACCCAAATTCTATGTCAAATTATCAGATATTCAGTGATAGCTCTAACCAGATAATGTGGAATGCACATGCCTGTGCACGTGTGTGTTTTGTTTCTCTTTATTTCCAAGATTTATTTCTATTTTTTTATGTGTATGAGTATATTGCTTACATGTATTTTTTCAGGTTTCAAATTTTTAATTAAGATCTTTGATCCACTTGGAGTTAATGTTTGAGCAGGTAGAGAGCAAGGGAGGGATATAGATTTACTTTTATACACATGGATAGATAGTTTAAAAATCAGTTTTTAAGTACATGGTTACTGGTTAAACTCCCTAACCGTTTGGAATCATTGACCTTTTCCTTGTATTCTTAGCTTTGATTATTCCGGCATGATCATGTATGTAGCATAGCAACCTGAATTCAAGGTCCTAGTGGTTACTCTTCTCTATCACTCATTAATATTCATGTATATGAATGTGCACAGCAGGTTCTTCTACCTACTGAAGAACATCTTAATGGTTTCTAATTTTGGACATTTGTGAGGAAAATTGCTAAAAATATTCATGTGGAGAATTTTGTGTAGGCTTGTCTTTCTAAATGTAAGAGTGGAGCAGGCTCCATGCTGTGGAGAAAGGATTGACAGCTTCTTGTAGGATAGTGGCACTCTGCTTCATCCAACGTACAGTCCCATTGAAACTATTCCAGGTTACTGTTCTGTGAAAAGTAAAGGACAAAATTGTGCAACTACCTTGCTGAATAAGAGAAAGGGACATCAATTACATGATGCATTTTATAGCTGAAGTGCTCATTTTATGGCGTGGCTTTTTTTTTTAAACACAGAAGTATGTGGAGTGGATATTTTTGTCTATAGAAAAGTAAAAAGGATTAATTAATTCTGTAATTGCTGAATGTAAAAATTAATAGAATTTCTAACAAAAGCATAGCTGTAATATGATTTAAATTCATTGTCATTTCTTCCTGCAACTTCATCATAAATAGTTAATGAACAAAAATTTACAAGTTTTCCTGGATTAAGCACCTAGTGGAATGTGGGGCACTGAGTACTAAGTATGTAGTCAGTTGTTGTCTTCCAGGATGAATCTTTTAGGGTGTCACAACATCACAATGTACAAATCACACAAAGTGATTTTCAAAGCCATGCAGATTGTTTCTTCTTATTTAAAATGTGAAGGTGCCTTAAGCAAATTCTTATGAGCCAAGGATGTTTGTAAAGGAGACTTTATTAGTGCAGTGATTAT